CGCTCTCTCTCTCTCTCTTTCTCTCTCTCTTGTCCCCCTCCCCATGCCCTGAATAAACTCTATTCTATTCTATGCTATACTATATGCTATGCTATATATTCTATGCCGTGTGGCTGGTCCCTCAGGGGGAAGAGATGCCTCGGCATAGGCCTGCTGAGACATCCCCTTCCATCATTGGTCCCCTTTCCTTCAATAATCCTGGGATAAAGGTCAATTGGAACTTCAAGTTCAACTTAGTACAGCCTCCAGCCTCCTCTGTCTCCCTAAGGTTCCTGCCACATGAGAGAGGGCTTCGTCCAAGGCCAGGCAGAATTCCCACAGTTCACATGAAGAAAGACACATGCATTGTGACTTTGGGCAAGTGTCTGCCCCTCACTGAACCTCAGCTCCCATGATACCATTTGTGCAGGCGGGTACCCTCCATTACTCTTCGAGGGTTAGCATAAATAATGCTTGCAGTGGTTAGAGCTTCCGGCACTTTCCATGGATTGTGTGGTCCACCAAGATACTCTCAGAGGTCCACCTGCCAGTTTACCCGTTTGCCATGTGTGGAAGCAGGCTCTAGTGGTAGGAAAATGGGGTGACATTTTAACTCGGTGATCAAGCTCTCCAGCATGTCCCTCCTGAACCCTAAGTTGTTCCAGGTTCATCTCTGGCTGCCTGGTAGACACGTGACAGCTCTTTGTTGCTCTCCACACCAAAGCCAGGAGCCTAGGTGAAAGGTCACATGGTGTGTGCGGTCACAGTGCCTCCGAGCACAAGCGTTTGCTCACTTCAGAGGAAAGGCAGGCTGAGATGGTTCAGCGGGACCTGTGGCTCTGGGTCACATTCCACAGATTTTTGACCCCTGGCTTGGGCTTGGCAGCCACTGACTCATTGTTCTGCAACTTGGCAAGGACTGGAGGATCCTGGAATCCCCAGGGTGGTTGGGCCAGGAGACTCCCCATATTACTCAAAGCATTACCTCTGGTCTGTCCCTGCACTCCATGTCTCCCTCCAGATGCCCTTACTTGCATCTGACTCTGGAAGAAACAGGGTTTTTGTAGAAATGTACAGTGTGCGGAGGTTGGGTATTACAGAATGCAGCTCTCTTCAAGTCCTGCCCTTCCGTGACTTCCTGGGGACCAAAAACCCTGGAAGGAGGACCACTGAAATCTGAACCCAGATTCTCATCTGTAGCTTATTGGGCATATGGCTTTGAGCCTCAGTTCCCCTACTGATTATGAGTTTCCCAGAAGCCTGAGGATGAGTGGGAAAGGCCTGGCCCATTAAGAAGGGCCCCGCTCCCTGTTCCCTGCTGGACTCCTTCCATCTGCAGTGTTCCTCTTGATGCTTGTCAAGCTGGACTGTCTTCCTCTCCACCCTGGGAAACACATCGTGGCAGGCATTCCTGGACTCTGCATGGGTCTGCGTGTCACTGATTGAGTGTTGGGGGTTGGGGGACTTTGATAGAAGAGTTACATACGGACGATAGCTGGATGTGATCTGGAGCAGGGTCTGTCCAGTGGCCTCTGTTGGACAAAAGACTCCTTGTAAGCACTGGCTCTAGGGTGCTACACAACCCCCAGACTTGTGCACTGGCCCTACATCATGGCTTTTGTGTGGAGACAGGGCTCGTTCTACAGAGTGCCACTGAAAAAGATGACAGTGTGGTAGTCTCAGAGGATGCCACCTTAGGTCTAAGTCCTAGCCCTCCTGCTTATCCATGTGACCCGAGCAAGCCTTTCAACCTCCTTATGCCTCAGTTTCCTTATTTGTTCAGTAGCCTGATTGTAGTCTTACCTCATGGAGTTGTGTTCAAGTTTACAGGATGAAGGACGTATTAAAGACCCATGGAACAATTGTCATCGTTATCTGTTATTTCAGAGGTGGCTTGGGCCCCTTTGTCATAGTCCTGGCACCTCAAGTAAGGTCCACATAGCTGTCTGGAGGCCTGATCCAGGAGGGGCATGGCCTTCCTAAACAGCTGCCAGGCAGCTCAGTGAGATTTACCTAGGGACCTAGCTAGTTTGTGAAAGAGTGCAGATTCACGTGCAGCACCACCCCCCCAGCCCCAACACCTGGGGACTGGATGAGGGAAGGGGAATTCAGAGATTCAGAGACAGGGTCCAGACAGGCAGGTAGGCAGAACAGATAACATGCATGGCCAGGACAGGGCAGCCTGTGAGCCCATTCTGGAACCTTCTAAGATAAAGATGGAACCTTTTCCTGAAGACATTTCTCCAACTTTTTCCCAGAGGTCCCCCTAAGGGCAGAGGACGGTGAACATGTCACCCTGAGGGATGCAGAGGGTGTTGGCCGCATCAGCTGCTAAGCCTTCGGGAGCCTCTGGCTTCCTCTTCAAATTCATGCGCATTTTACATCGGGCTCACTCTTATGCCCAGTTTGTTGTCACAGGCTTTCCCCTTGAGTAACAACAGTGCCTGAGGAAGCTTCTCCGTGCTTATCTGTTTATCCTGGGGCTTTTTGTACCCAGCTCCTCTACCATGTCACCCGGGAGGTGAGGGGGCGGGAGAGGTGCTTAGGCTGGATGCTCAGCCAGACGATGGGAAGATGGAAGATTCTGAGAGCATCTAGGCCCATCTGCATCCCCTGTAAGACCTGCACTAAGGGACTCGGGGAGGGAGAGACCTACCTGTGATGCTATGTATCCTCAGTCAGACACTGCTCATGTGTATCTGCAGACATGAGGATAAGCCATATCAAAGGTGGTCGATGTCATAGACAGTAGAAATCCACATGAACTGTACTGGTCTTGTCCGAGGCCCTGTGGCCTCACTTTCTGTTTTTGACTTTATGTGCTGTGGGGTAGATAAATGCCCCAAAGAACATTGAAGGGCTGGGGAGATAGCGTGATCGGTAAAGTCCTTGCTACACAAACATGAGGACCTGAATTTAATCCCTAGCAACCAAATATAAAGAAGGGAAGTTGTTAGTGAGGACACCACTGTCAACCTCTGCTCTCTGCTTGCACACACACATACACACTCACACACATCTGTGCCCACTCAAAGCCAGTGGAGGTAAAGGAGTGCCCAGGGATGCAGGAAGAACGATGCTGGAGGCCAGGGATGCAGGAAGAACGATGCTGGAGGCCAGGGTTGCAGGAAGAATGATGCTGGAGGCCAGGGGTGCAGGAGGAACGATGCTGGAGGCCAGGGATGCAGGAAGAATGATGCTGGAGGCCAGGGGTGCAGGAGGAACGATGCTGGAGGCCAGGGTGCCTGCTGTAGTGGGCTAGGTGCCCTTGATGCACTTGGGAGTTATAAACACACCTGGCATCTGATTCATGTGGCTGGTAACCAGCTTAGAAGGATCAGGGAGTGACTTACAGTCTGACCAGATCTGCAGGATATCCGTTCTGACAACAGCAATGGTGCTGATTCCTGTCTCACTGCTGGTGAGAGACGTTGGGACCTTTAAACGGTAGAGCTTAGTAGGAGGTCATTAGGTCACAGGGGCACTCCCTCTAGGAAGGATTATTTCTTATGAGATTAAATTGTTTATAAAAGCTCAAGTCTGAGCCCTGAATGTCTGACTGTCTGGATTCTTGACTGGCCATGGGGTCTGTCCTTTTCCCAGGAGTCTCTGCCAGTGTCATGTTAGCTAGCAAGAGGTTCCTGCAAGTACTGATCAGGCCCTTGAATCTCCAAAGCTGTAAGCTCAGTAAAACTTTTCTTTATAAAGTCGTCCAGACTCAGGCATTTTGGTATAGTAACAGAAAATGAGCTAGTTCAAATAGTCTTAGCTAGGGTCTTAGCTTGTGTGATTGTTCCTTTGAGATAATAGGAAGGTCATTCATGAATCACAGGGGCTTCTGGCTCTCTAGGGACTATCGGGCAGCTGCTAAGGAACCTGGGTCAGGACCCCTGGAGTTCAGACTAGAATTGGGACACAGAGTGGGTCTGTAGATGCTTCAGGGTTTCCCTACTTACCTGAGCTACACTGATGCCTCTGTATATGCCTCATGGGAGCCCAAGCGCAAGCCTGGCCGGTGGAAGGCGTTAAAGATATATTATGGGATACATGCAGGCTTTTCCACACAAGAGAATCATTCTCCCAGCCAGAAAGCTCCCGTGCATGTCAGCCTTGGTCTTTGCCACAAAGAGGCCAGTGTAATGGGCCTCTAGCACTAGGAGTAGAAGCCACTCTCCCAGGAGTAGGAAGACACTCAATTGCCTTCTGCTCATAATTGGGTGCATACCGTGGGCATTAATTATCAGGTCAGTCCTGGACATGAGAGCTAACCTGTTCAGAGCCCTGCCTGGAGGTTCACAAGAACCTATGCCCTCCAATGTCACTATGTCTGCTATGTACTGCCAGAGTCTGGCTTTGTTCTCCTGGTCACTCATGCTACCCACTTGGGCTTATATGGGGTGTTGGGGACAGCAAAACAGACCAGCTCCCTATTGAAAGGATATAGAAAAATATCTGGTTGTGAGGGTCGAAGCTGAAGTTTGTGGTGGTTTGAATGAGAAGTGTCCCACATAGGCTCATGTTGGTGCTGCTGTTGGGGAGGTTTAGGTGGTGTACCTTGCTGTAGGAAGTACATCACTGAGGGTGGGCTTTCAGATTCTATAACCTCACCCCACTCTAAAGGACGTTCTGGCGGCCATGTTGTCCCTGCTGTTATGGTCTCTTAACCATGTGAAACCATAAGCCAAAATAAACTCTTTTCTACAAGTTGATTCTGGTCATGGTGTTTTATCTCGGCAAAAAGAAAGTAAGTGATTCAGGCCTCCTTGCAGGCCTGGAATGGATAGTCCTCTTTTCCCTGCAGAGTACCTCCGTTTCCCCACTTCCAGTAGACAGTCCTAGCAACTGAAACAGTACAACCTTATATAGAGAGAGTACCCTCTGGAGTGTTACGTCCTAGACTGGTCACTTGTGAACTAGGTGACCACGAGCAGAGTAACATCTGTGCCCTCTGCTCTCCCATCTGTAAACTGGAACTGGTGGCCAGGAGGAGAAAGTGACCAGGTTCCTATTTTCTGTTGCAGCCTGTGATCTTGTGAGGCTGGCATGCAGGATGGCAGGACAGCCCAGCCACATGCCTCATGGAGGGAGCCCGAACCACCTCTGCCATGCGCTGGGGCCTGCACCCCCTCCAGACCCACAGGTAAGCCCCTTCTCTTGTGTCCCAGAACACTGAGGATCCCTCGTTCAACATTTCCTATCTGTAGGGAGCTGTGTAGCACACCTATACAGACACCTCCTTGGATGCTTCCAGGCCTGGGGTGAAGCCCTGTACTTAATTCACAGATGCCTGGTTTCCATTGAGGAGCAGCTCCATGTCTGCAGCTCTGTGCAAGAAGAGGGACTCAGGAATGGACAGAAAGTTCTTGTGTATCCTGGGCCACTGTTGACCTCTGTTTTGGCCTGAATTGTGTTTGGCTCTCTTTAGTCTGGTGTTCTAGATGGTCTCCCTGTGCCCAATCTACCCTGGCTTTTGATGTCTTAGAGGGCTCAGCTACCTTTGGTCCTGCTCTAAAGGTGGCTTTGAGTGCCAGACACACTCAGTGCCTTTGCACACTGTTCCCTGACCTAGAATGCCCTTCCCAGTCTCCCTACAAGCCACAATTCCAGATATTACTCTCTGAGGAGACTTCCTACCCTTGACCCACAGCTATGCATGTTCCCCGCACCCACATACATTCTCCTACACCCGTGTGCATGCCCCCCATCCCACATGGCCCTGGCCTTAGGATGTTCTCTCCTGCAGGGGTCTTCTGTGCCTACTAGGTGGAGGATGTCGCTAGCCCCATACACAGAGGCGTGCTCTATACCACTGAGTCAGCAAAATACACCCTTAACGTGCAGTGGATTTCCTGGGTGTGGCTACAGGAGGCAGGCCCAGGTCAGCTCTCAGGGAACACTTTTAATACCCAACAGAAGGACCCTCTATGTCTCCAGAGGCCCTAGCAAAGCAACTGAGAGGGCAGACCTCTGTAAGAAAGGGACAGGCAGTGGCCTGGAAGGTGGCAAGCTTGGTGCCTGCTCCCAATCCTTTAGGACCCAGCTTTTTTCCCGAGGCCATAAGACCTAAATCAGAGGGAGGTTGAAGACAGCCATATTCCTGCTTCATGGGAGACTGTCACAGCTTCTGATACCCTAGTTCTGGGTGGAGGACTAAGGGTCTGTCCGTTGTGCAAATTTTAAACTGCACAGACAGCTGTTCAGGGAGCCAGGTGGGTTTTGAGTTTGTATTTGCTTGCAGTCTTGCTGTGTTGTGATCTATGGCATGAAGCTATGTCAGCCCAAGAGAGGGTCCTACCACAGACCCACACAAAGATGACACCCGAGCTCGTGACAGTGTGTGCAAGTACACAGACTGTCCTAGGACAACTATGCTGTTGGTGCTGGATGCGCTGGTCCATTTCCAGGTAGAATCTGGGGAGGCACAGCTCCAGGGCTGGGCCAGGACATGATGCTGATGGCAGGGGCAGCAGGGCCTGCTTAGGTAATGTAGCCATTTGTCACATTAAGTCATTCACTAACAATCGAATCCCCCTTGATTAATCTCCCAGAATTAGCCAGTTGCATTTCGAGCAATTAGGGTTAATTACAGGCTCATTTGGCAGAGGAGAGAGGCCTGTAATTATTTCTCGTGCGAGGCGAGGCGAGGCGAGGGGAGGCAAGGAGGCAGCGGTGACAGTGTCCTCAGCAGCTTGTCGCACATGTTGGAGTGGGTGATGACATAGTTAAGTGTAATTAGATGCAGTCACTCAGTGTCGGCTGCTCTGGGCAGTGGCTGTCAGGCAAAGGATGCCCGCGTCCTACCTGTGCACCTGGCCAGGCTCGAAGACTTGAGTTGCATGGCTGAGTATGTTATGCCAGCCCCAGGCTGGGATGGAGATGGAGGCCGGCCAGGCACATCCTCAGTCCTCTCAGTGCCTATGTCTTGACCCCATCTGGGGAGTGTGGCACAAGCCTGTCCATGGCAGCATCCTGAAATGCCTAGAATGGAATGGAATCACGTCTCTTTGTGGCAGGAGACATGTGACCCATCAAGCCATCCTTGGAACAAGGAGTGAGGCTGTACCTTCTCTGAGGATGGGGAACAAAGTGTCTCAGCCTCAGTTTTCTCATCTGTAGAGTGGGGATAATGCTGGCACCACCATCCTGAAACATCTATAAAGTCTCAATGACATGATGTGCTTTAAACATCCAGCATGGAACCCAACACCATGTATGTCAAGGAAATGCCATGTGTAGACCATTCATTCATTTGTTCATTCTTTTGTTTGTTTGTTTGTTTGTTTACTTTTTGTTTTTTTAAGACAGGTTTTTTTCTGGCCCTGGCTATCCTAGAACTTACTTTTGTAGACCAGGCTGACCTCAAACTTACAGAGATCTATCTGTCTCTGCCTCCTGAGTGCTGGGATTAAAGGTGTGCCCAACATGCCCAGCTGTAGATTTTACTTTTATAATTGAAAAATTATTGTGAATTATTTCAAAGCCAAAGCTCTCACAGTTATATTTACCCTCTCAAGGCAGAAAGGTCAGGAACTCTTAACAGTCACCTATGGCTTTGTTAACATTCTAGGTCTAAAGCTAGTGGATTTACAGAAACTAAGAGAGCCAGCAGCACATGGAAATCTTTTTGCTGAATCCTACCGCTGACTCTGAGGTCCACATACACTGAGAAAGGCTAGGCTTTAGCTGGCATTCCAGTGAATGGACATACAGAGTCAAGAAGGGGAAACCCATGCAGAACGATGCAGATTGTATAAAAGGGAAAGGTTTCCTTGTGTGCGAAGTCCCTGCTGACATGTCTTCAGAAACCTGTTCTGGTTTCTGAAGCTGAGTTCTCTTCTATTTGGAGAGAGGCATGTGCATACTCTGCAGGGGTCTGGAGGCAGCTGTCCATGGGTGTGTTTCACAGACCAAAATTTATATGCAAACCCTCCCAAAGAGGTGATGGTGGATGGGTAAAGTTTAATGACCAAATACTATTGGCTATTGAAACTCAAGGAGCTGGGAAGATGGCTCAGTCAATAGTGAACCTGCCATGCAAGCATGACCTGAGTTCAGGTTTTAGCATCCACATAAAAGCTGTACACAGTGGCATACTTCTGTAACCCAGCACCAGGAAAGAGGGAGACCTGTGGGTCTCTGTGGCTCACTGGCTATCCAGCCCAGCTGAATTTGGTGAGTTCTGACTTCAGTGAGAGACCTTGTCTCAAAATATAGAGAATGATTGATATACACGGTCCATGTGCACACACACACACACACACAAGCAGTTGATGAATATTGGCTACTGATGGTAAATTTAGAAAATGATTGTTTCAGGCCTTTCTCTGAGTAGCAGCCCTTGGGACTCATGGCCTACTAGACACCTCTCTATAAACAGACACTGGAGGGCTTGGGGAAGAGCAGAGAATGGGGCAGCTGGTTCTGTCCAGTGGATGACCAGTAGTCAGGGACAGAATAGCGAACATATTCCAAGGCTCCAGACCTGCAGGCAGGCCAACACACACACAGACACACACACATACACACACACACACACACACACACACACCCCTTCAGCCAAAAGCAGAGAACCAGTGCTTGGTCACTTGAACTGAGACCATAGTGAAGGAGGAGCCCATTGTGGGTTTTAGAAAGATCCCTGGTGGCTGAGGCCTGAAGCTCAAGGAGGGTACAATGGGGGCTTGGTGGAGGAGCCATGTCCACAGCAAAGTGACAACTGTAGGAGAAGGAGGTAGAGAAGGACCTCCAGTCTTCACCTTCCAGCCTTTGCCTGGCAGTGCTCTCGGCTGCAGCTCTTACCCAGTTTTAGGGTACCAGGACCATCCTGCGGAGGGGGTACTGCACTTTGGATGTTTAATGTCAATCATTGTGTCTCTATGCTTACACGCAATTCCTTAGTGTGTCTGTGAGCTGATGGTCCATGAAGCCTATAGTAGGCTCCTAAGCTGGAATGATGGCCATGGTGAATAGCGCTCAGAGAAGGGGAAGTAGTAGCCCGTGCTCCATTTCACAGGGAGGTCAACTGCTGCTGCCTTGCTCCCGAGGGCAGTAGGAATGAAGGTTGGCTTTGGGTTTGAAATCGGCCATTATTCTGAGAGAGGTTGGCCTTGCAAGGTGTCTGACAATTCGGACTCTTTGTAAATTGAGCCCTTTTGTGCAATGCATATTTAAAACATTTTGCTTCATGGAAACCCAGTCTCCTGTAAGTTCCCTATACACACGATGTCAGATGTCTTTAAAGGTGAAATTCGTTTACAGGAAATGTCATGCTGATGAAGTGTGCTTTTTAAAATCATAGAAACAGTTGCCTTAAAATTAATGATGCATCACCAGTATGAGGGAGAAGAGGCCCATCCAGTGTAAAGACGATTAAAATTCAGGTCAGAAGTCTGATTTAGTCAGGCTAAATTTTTTAATGAGATTTCAGAAAATTAATTGGGCGAATGCATTTTTATCCTTCTAACGTGTAATTTTATGTTCCTGTTTAGGGAGTGAGCATAGGGGAGAAAAGGGTTTGTCAATGGCCGAGGCATATCGTGGTTCAAACATTTTAAACTCAAATTAGCGAGGGGGTGTGGAGGGGGGTATTTCTGGCCTAATTTGATCTGACTTGGAAAAGAAAGCCTGGGTTTCTCTGGTTTTCTGGGGTAGGATGAGTGTCCTAAGGGAGTCATCTTCCATTATCCCCTGGATGTCCTGCCTGGGCCTCAGAAAACTAGTGACATTTCTAGGAAGGATGCAGTTGGGGACAGTGACCATGGACTTCAGCTGTCTCCTTGACTCCTGTCTATCGGGCTGCTCCTGCTGTCTGTGGTCATGCTTACAGAGACTGCTCCCTCTTCCTCCTCCCCCCTCCTCCTCTTCTTCCTCCTCCTCCTCCTCCCCCTCCTCCTTTTCCTTCTCTTCCTCCTCCTCCTCCCCCTCCTCCTCCTTTTCCTTCTCTTCCCCCTCCTCTTCGTCCTCTTTCTTCTCTTCCTATTCTTCCTCTTCCTTCTCTTCTCCCCTCCTCCTCTTTCTCCTCCTCCTCCCCCCTCCTCTCCCTTCTCCTCTTCTTCCTCTTCTTCCTCCTCCTCCTGGTCCACACCATCCTCCCTCTGCAGCTCAGGCCTTTTCCTTGGGGCCACTGTGCTAGGCAGCAGTGTGTATAGGATTGTTGCAGGGTCAGCAGCCTGCCTCTTCATAACCCATGTCAACTTCCTGCCTCCTCTGCCTTTGAGGGACAACTGAGGGCCACCCCTTCCCACAGGAGCCAGGAATGACTTCCCACTGAGGCATCCCTCCCTGCCCACAGTGCAGCCTTAATGAATAGATGACAGGGTCAGGGTTACTCTGCAGACTGGATCATGCTGAGGGTAGCCTGGGTTGGGAAACAGGCCCCCTGAGGCAGGGCAACATACAGACCTGGCCCGGAGGGTAAGAAGACTCTACATCCTCCCTCTCTCCTTGGAGTTAAATCAGGACTCTGATGCTGAAGAGCCCTTGTGTGATGAGATGCCCAACACTTGAGCAGAGGCTGCCCCAGGAGCGCCCTGCCTAGTAGTTTGCTGGCATTCTCCCACCCCAGTGGCCTGGACATGGCCCCAGTGCATAGCAGTCTTCACTATAGGAAACGATTTCTCTAGTTGGGATGAATGGAGTGTGACAGGAAATGCAAATCTGGGTCATCCATGTGCAGATTTGAGCTAGAACCTTAGCCTCAGTCACCCCACAGCAACCACCTCACATCCATTAGACTTGGGAGCCACTGATGAATTGGGCAGTGTGGCCTCCTGGTTGGACAGACTGTCACAACGGTCTTCAGCCCACAGTTCATCCTCCCATCCTAATGAGAAGACGGCCTGTCTGTGTTCACAGAACAAGTAGCCTTGGTGATCACCCCGCTCCATCCTTTAGTGTACCAGGGGAATGCCGAGGTCCAAGGGACCCCCATCAGCACAGCCCGGGGTCAGACAAAGAACTCAAGTCCCTGCTGTCCTGGCCTAGGCCTGCAGGAAGAGCTCTTCCATAGGCTGTCATGAGGCATTCATAGCAACTCTCAAGAAGCACAGAATAGGCACTTTATGCACAACAGCACATTGTCATCTCCACGAACCACCTTGGTTCTTTCCAAGCTTGACTCACTTTGGTCTCTCTGAGGTGGCAGCTGCACTGTGTCGGGCATGTATAGTGCTCCAGGAAGCTTGGCCTCTGAAGTACTCCTCTGAAGTGCTCTCCTGGTGGGTAGGTAGTGTATTGGCAATTCCTTAAGAGTTTGCCTGGCGGATATCATCTTCCTCTGGCTTGAGTCTGCAGTCAGGGATCTCTCCAAACCATCCTCCACCAGTGTTCAAGATTCAGAGTCAAGTCAGCCCAATATTGACCTTGCTGAGGGAAGCAGGCAGTGTAGTCATGGGCTGGCAGGAGGTTATCCACAGTAACCTTGTGTTGAGGTTTGGTCTGTTGCTATGAGTCCCCAAGGCCTGGTTGCTCCAGAGACAAGGGAGTCCCAAGTAGACCCAAGTGATGCTATGTGAACTTGCCCTCAAGTTATTTCTGGTTGGTGAATAAAGATTCCTACAGTCTATAGCTGGGCAGAATTGAGATAGGCAGGACTTGGGGTTCCTAGGCTTGGGGTCGGAGAAGACCACGGGGAGAGAGGGGAAGGTAGAGAGAGGAGAAGCCACCATGAGGTAAGAATCTTAAAATAATGGGCATGTGGTTTGGCTAATTGGAGTTAAGAGCAGCCCAGACAAAGCGTGGCAAGTTATATAGTGGGAGTACCGACTGGAGAATAGACATGATAGCATAAAGGGTAGAGTCTGCCCAGCTCTTCTGCTGATGAAGGCCTAGTATAAATATAAAGGTTCTGTGTCTTTTATCCGGGAACTGAATGGTCAAAGGCAGGGCAGATACCCAGGATTGAGATTAGATATTTTCAGCAGCATCCTTGGCCAGGTCCCTTTGTTCCGTCACGGCTTTCAGTGCTGGTTCTACAGTCTCTACAAAGTCTGGTTTCTGTGTCACTGTGAGGGGCCAGTTGTCCAGAGAAGCTCAGATGTAAGCTACACACCCACCCGAAGCCTGTGTCCCTTTCTGATGGGGAATGGCTGTCCTGGTTAAGGGTGACTGACAGTGTCAGGACAATGACTATGGTGGCAGGGGGGTGGTGAGCCTAGGATAAGACTAGAATTGTTTTGATATTTGTCACACACACACTACTTGTCAGGCCTGTTGTTGGGGGTGGGGAGTAAAATCTCTTCTTTGCTTAGAAGGTATTACTGTGGTGCTGGGGTCCTAGCGGTCTAGCCTTATGCTTTTCTCCTCAGCCTAGCTGATCACCAATGCCTCTGTCTCCTACAGAGGCACCCAAACACCCTGTCTTTTCGCTGCTCGCTGGCAGACTTCCAAATTGAGAAGAAGATTGGCCGAGGACAGTTCAGTGAAGTCTACAAGGCCACCTGCCTGCTGGACAGAAAGACGGTGGCTCTGAAGAAGGTGCAGGTGAGTTCAGGGCCAAGTGGCTTCACTGTGACCCTAACCTCGTAGGGGACTCAAGTTTAGCCCATGGTACAACGTAAAGGAAAAGAAAACTATGCACACATTAGGCACCTACTGTGTGTGGGGATGTGTTCACACACGGGAGCCTGACAGTAGCCCAATGGGCTGGGATTATTGTCTCATTTTTCAGATGAGGAAAACAGTAGCAATTCACTAACACTACCAACATCAGGCTTTGCCTCAAAGGGACCAGCCTGCCCTCTGTGAGCCTTCTAAATGAAGGGGAGGTATACAGCAGCACGGTCAGGCTGGGAAGCACATAGCATGTGCCTAGAATCCCCACTCCACCGTACCTCCGGCTGCCTAAGCTCATTATTCTGCTGGTTCTCCTCCCAGGGAAGTGCCTTGGGCCCAGGAGACCCTGGACAGGGAGGGTAGCTTAGCCAGGCACCCATGGGAAGACACTGGCTGCACAGTGTCAGCATTGACCTGTGACCCTCACATTCTTTTTGGAGCACTGGGACATCAGGCTCCTGCAGTTGAGATACTGTCTGCTCTTGCCTTTCCAGAGGCATTCTGGGCCATCATCTTTCTTTTGCATGATGGTTGCTGTGCTGAGATATTGGCAGTGGCTGCCTTTAGTCTGTCCCCACAAGTCTGATGCTTCAGGTTTCCAGTGAAGGAGCACTGATAACATGCCACTTATCAGGGTGTGACCTCAGCGAGCCTCAGAGGCTGTGGACCTCAGTCTCGGCTCTGTGAGCTGGACACAGTGACTCTCACCACACAGGAGGCGTCATGGGACCAAGTGAACCTGGCAACATCACACAGTCTCTGACCCGTGCTGTTGTTGGGACTCTCACTCCTCGGGGTCCTTGGCAAGGAGCAGGGTGAGCAGAGGCTTGCTTGAATCCCGTCATTGACACTGGTTTGAACTGTTCTGTTTCTGGCTTCTTCTTGCCCTAGATCTTTGAGATGATGGATGCCAAAGCCAGGCAGGATTGTGTCAAGGAAATTGGTCTCCTAAAGGTGAGTGGACTGGATCAAGCCAATCTCGGTTGGCCAGTTGTCTAGGTTACTGCAGGTCAAGCATCCTGGGCCTATCATGATAGCACATATGAGCAGCAGGTATGTCTGAGATAGTTCCCTCCTTCCCAGTGATCTCCATGTTGATTTCTCCAGAGCCAGAGATAGAACTTTCTGGACTAGACTTGGGCCCCAAGTAGGAGTGTGAGAAAGTAAGAAAGCCTTGGGTCACGCTCCTGATGTCTTCCTTTCTAAGCTATGTGACCTTTCACAAGTGGCTTTAATGAGTAAAGGAAGCACTTGACATACAAGCCACCTGACTTCAGTTCCTACATCCATGTAAAGATAGAACTGACTCCACAAGATTATCCTTTGACCCACACACAGGTACCATGGCATGCACACATCACACATCACACACACACACACACACACACACACACACACACACACACACACAC